AACATGAAAATTAAAAAAAAGGTAAATAAATTTAAAGGGACTAATATCTAGTATCCACTCTTGTGAAATATCCCGTTTCCATATACCGATTCCAGGCATCCTGGACTGTTGTTCGAAATATACCCAGGGTATCGGAGACATAACGTTGACTTCGGTCATCCTCAATTAAAGCCACAATTCGAGCAACATTTGTTATAGGTAATGGCATTTTTTAATTTGATAACAGTTTTTCTCATATTCCAAATACTCATAAATCCGTTTTCGCCTATGTCGCCTTGATTATTTATACATAAAACTTTCTGCCTTTTCCGAGATGCATTCTGAATTTTTCCGAGACGTTCGTTTTAAAACAGCATATCTCCAATACAAAAAGAGATAATGTGGTGATTAAAAAAACAAAATGCTCACAAAAGATGAGATTACAATGTGATTTAATTTAGCAATAGCTACTATCGCGGCTGCACCCTACAGGATGTTACAAAGTTCGTGCAAAAAACTTCGTCTTATTGTTGTGCCCTGTATATGCTCAAAATAAATTCGGAATAAACATTTCTGACGTAGCATCCGTTAAAAAGGAACTAATTTACAATTTAAAAGAAAAATCATCAAAATCTAATGAGTGGTTCGCGAGAAATCCAACTTTGAAATTGGGTCTAGTTTTAAGTGGCCGGTTTTTTTGCCGGTGAGTTTATTTTGTTTCTACATCTTTCTGTATTCGTATAATCAATCGAGGCGAATAAGGTGCACCACCCTGTATAAAAATCCACATTTTCAAAACAACCCTATAACCGGTTCTCCTATTACCATCGCCGGAAAGTCAGTTACCGGTAGCGGCTAGACATCTAGCTTTTAATCCATAAGGATATTTCGAGATGTTTCATTTTTTTCCTTTCGTTATAAGCTTAAAGCTACCTAAAATTGATAATTTGAAGTTTGTGACACATCTAGAACTACCTTAGAATTTTGATGTGTGAGTGAGTCAATGTCGAAATTACACAAATTTGACAAGCTATAATTCATAAACTATGAGGTATAATTATAGCCAGTTATAATATGTCCTCATGTTTAGTTAAAATTAATATTCTTACTATATCCACAACAGTGAGTGGTCAAATGTGTCGCTAATACCTTCGAGAAAAAGATGGTATGGCTGTGCTCGACTTGGCGAAATATGAAAAGCGAAATATGAAAAGATATCAATATCAGATATAAAATCACTTCATAAAAACTATTTAATCTATCGATCTATTCAATATTTACAGCATAAATGTGCAGTTTCAATCTACAATATTATCGCTAGCTTTAAATAGCTTTTTTTAATTATAAAACTGTTCACATAAACTAAATATTAATAGAAAAGCCAATTTAGGAATACATTATAGATTTCCAATCTGTTTTTTAATTATTATTTTAACCCAACAACTGTCATTAAGTTATATCAACACGTAAGTCCAGTAATTGAAATAAAAATGTTAAAGTCGTATAAAATAATTATAGAAAACTTTCAACACTGTCAATTAAAATAGACAGGAAAAATGGGTTGCTGCAGACATAATTAACTAATCTAATTATTGACTAGATTATCTAAGATAGATAGACAGATTATAGATTGATAGATAGACAGATTGTAGATCGATATATAGTTAATCGGAAGAAACATCTTATCAAATAAGTTCACTGAAACATGCTTTTAAAGGTAATAAACTTTGTTGCATCTGTGATACTTATCTAATTTTAGCTTGTGAACGTAATGACCTTATTTCTGATAGCAATAATTGTCTAATAGAAATAAAATAAAGTGAAAGACAGTGTTATATTGAAAGTTTAACAACTATAATAGTATTCTTTTACCAAATAACTAGAATTATGATTTAGTTTGTTAATATAAAAAATAACCTGTTTGATGAATTTATCACAATATAAGGTGTCGATAGATTTGTCTTAATATTAATTGTAGGAGAGATATAGAGTAATAAGACCAAAAATCAGAAGACAAGACAATAGTGAATCTGATGCAAACTGAATTATTTCGACCTTCTCAGAACTCGCTCCAGAATTTGATTTAAATAGAGAGCCAGAAGAGATTGTAGCTTTGTTCGGGTTCTTGTTATTTCCGATTCCGAACCGTTCCAGAAATGTGCAGCGCATGAGCAACAGTTATTAGAATCGGGTAATAAGGAAAACACAAATTAAACTATTATGTTATTTTCAGCGAAGGAGAGGTACAAGGGCAGAATAGTGGGATTGGTGCCTTACATGTCACATGCGAATCATGAGTGCACTCTGTGTCGGATATGTCGGATATGACGCCGGGACGTATAATATGTGTACTGTAAATATTATACCGGGTGGTGCATCGTCGTTGGAAACATAGGAAATCCCATGCAAATTTTGAACTGTTGAAATATTGCCTCCCCTATTGATTTTACAGCGATGTCGTAAATGGATTTTTAAAGGTTTATGCATGGTAAATACACATGCCAAATTTGAACAATTTTGGACCAGCGAATTTTGAGTAATTTAGAAAAGATTGCAACTATTTTTAAACTAAAACCGTAACAGGTAACAATCAAACACCAGTCAATAGTCAGGTAGGTTTACAAATTATGATTTTGTCATTGTCAAATATAACTAATTTATTTTTAATATTCAGGGGAAATTAACCGAAACAATTAAATTTTTTGCAATTTTTTCTGAAACTACTATTCCAAAATATTTTCACTTCCTCTACTTTCTTCCCAATTAAAGTGAATGAAAACCATAGACTTCGAATAAAATAATCATCTCATTCATAAATAGCTGGCAAATGCGGTCAGACAATGTCTTGTTATTATTTTAGGTTCTAACAAGTGCGACACGAGCGATAGATAGGTGTCTTCGTCGCGTCGTAACGGTCGTTCCCTGACGACTCTGCCGCGAAATGCAATACTGTCTTTCGTTTTCAGTGCACCTGAACTCTCCGTATCATAGGCAGGTAATTTTATTATTTTTATAAAAAAAAAATTTTTTTTAATTTTTTATTAAGATTTAAGAGAGGTTTTTAAAAAAAGCTTAGAAAAAAACGACTTAGGGTCCAAAAACTGTAATAAGATAGTATAATTTAGTAATAAGATAGTATAAGATAGTAAGACAGTACTGTAATAGATAGTATAATAAGAAAAAAATATTGATAATATTAAAGACGTGACAGCATAGGCTGGAGGAGGAAGACTGTACCCAGAAGTAAACATGTGTACGAAAATGATTGTTTGACCGCGTTTAGATATAAATAGTGTAGTCTATATTTTATTATAACTATGGAATGAACTAATTAAAGAGCGGTGCCGGACGGAAAAGACCACTCGCAAATTAAAATATAAAAGCCGGACGTTTCGAGGGCCCAACAACGCACCTCATCAACACAAATGACGTTCATTTCTTCCCTTTTCATCGGGTTAATTTTACGCGCGGCGCAATATATACTCGTTAACGTCGCCGACCGCTTAAAATTCACTCGTAAATATGAAAATGCGCCATGGCCATACGCAAACGGCCTTCGTTTCAAACAACAAACAACGAATTAATCAGAAACGCTACATGGATTATTCGTATTTCTCTGTGCTTTTTTTTTAAATGGCTGCTTCAGTATCGAGAATAATGGATTGCATTCTCTAATAGCTGGAGTTACAATTTCGTCGTTCCAAAAATATCATTCTTCGATTATTTTTATCAAATAATCTAAAAACTTTATACGGAATAACCAACAGCGATTGAAATGTAGAAGAATGTAGAATGGGTGAGAGGGGGGTTAATCACCACGACCTTAGATGATGGTGATACGTCCCTGCTTACCTCTCTGTGTTGGACGGCTTTCCATCCTGGCTATTTTATATCCTTGCCGGAGCAGAGGTGAGAGGTTCTCGCTCCCTCTCTTGCCCTTTGGTTGCGCCAGGCTGTTTATTGGTTCCTTTACTCTTCCCTTCTCTGGAAGACTCCATCCGTAACCTGGAATGGGTGTCCTCCAACGGTCTAAGACACTCGAAAAAGTTCCTCAGAACTTACGACCGCGAGAAAAAGCAAAGGTTTTCCTTGATTTAAGTAAAAACAATCTTCGGATTGTCACGGGGTTTTTAACAGGACACTGTCTCATCCACGAACACCTCAATAGGCTGAAGCTGAGAAACAACGGAGAATGCAGATTCTGTGGGAAAAATGGGGAAACACCAGAACACCTTATCACTGAGTGCGCCGAAACGACGACCGTTCGTGCCATGAACTTTGGTACGGCTGATGTCGAGGATGGAGAGCTGGCCTCTGTGGAGCTATCTCAGATACTGGCTTTTATTAAAGCCGTGAGACTGTATGATGAGTTATAACTCGTTATAACTCAAGAAAGGAGAACACACAATAGATCTGTTAGGTCGCGGTGATTAACTCCCCTCCTAAACATTCTACATTCTACACTCCCCTTTTTCGAGGAATACTTTGGCTTTTGCGTCTTTTGGAGCAACTCCTTCGTGGAGCGATTGAAATAGTTGACATTACTGTATTAGAGGATTTTGGGATTAGCCATTGGTACTGATGCAAAAACAAATTATCGATCGAAAAATTTTAGCTTAAAAGTTACGTCAGTTCATTGACGCCAATTTTATGTGTTTTCTCAATCTTCTTGAAAATTTACAAACTTTTCAGGAACTTATTTGTGTTAGTTGATTATATTCATAAATAAATTAACCTAAAAAAATTTAGTTTGTCCTTACAATTATTAAGTATTACGAGAGGTGTCTCTCACTTGGGTAAAAAATGTACATGTACTGCTAAAATATTATTTTACTACTAAGCGACTGCCAATAACTGCGAAGAAACATATGTCTGCCATATAATTATAGTAAGGCTAATGTCAACGACTGCCAAGGAAATTTACATGTAATTCTAACAGTATAAGACTCCTTTAATTAATAAGCATACGTAATGTGACAGTCATAAATAGATTTAAATACAGTCGAAATGAAGTTACTTACTGCTACTCTGCTTTCTTTAAGATCTAGTCTCATCGCTAATGCTTCTCTCATAAAAACATCCGGGTAATGACTGGCCAAAAATGCTCTTTCTAGTTCTTCTAACTGCCAACTATTAAAGTTCGTTCTACTTCTCCTTCTTTTGGATGCCGCTGATTCTGAATCTGCTTCACCACTACTACCAGCTCCTGAAACCAAAAATAAAATCTTTTAGAAAATTTGTTTCACCGCATTTTCAAAAACGTTAAGTAAATGATATTTTTAAATTTTATGTCTAAATAAAGATAGAAATAAGAAAAATAATGTATGTTTAAGCACAGTCGAATTAGACAAATCTGTAGTAATAAATTATAGACAATTAATAATTTACAAACTTTTGTTTGTAAATTACTAAAAAAAAATTTGTAAATTGTATTTTACAAGAAGCGGAAAAAGGGGCCAAGAAACCCTACATATATGCTTATTCTCTGCATTAAGTTCATCAGACTGAAGGGAACAGCCATTCGACGACCGGTTTCGGAGATTTATCTCCATCGTCAGGCCGACTTTGCTGTAACCCCCAATCTGACAAACAAAAAGCAGAGAATAGCATTTGAGTACAAAACGTACTACTATGGAGAGTGCTAGACGCTCTCGCTATCTAGCGGTAGCTGTGACAATCAGAGATCGTACCGCCAAAATTAAAACCAGCGGCCTACTGGACAAACATGCTTGCTTCATCCACGTTACCGTAGATGAAGCTGAAGGTTTGGTAGGGTATATATAAACAAACAAAATACAAGAAGCGGAAAAAGAGGCCAAAATACCCTACATATATGCTTATTCTCTGCATTAAGTTCATCAGACTGAGAATAACTCCGAAACCGGTCAACGATTGGTCTCCTTGGCATGACCACAAAATAGGAATCAGTTTATTCCTATTTTGTGGCTTGACAAGCTTTAAACAGAAAATTCGCACATAAAGCAGGTGTACGGCTGTTAAATGCTTCTCTCAAATCTAATCTAAATATATGAATGTAATTATTTGTCTGTTAACTTTATTCCAAATGCTGGGTTCAAAAACAATTTGTTTTTTTGCTGCTGGATCAAACTCGACAATTAAACTCTCGGCTATCGAACATGGTTTGATCTTGGCATTCAAGCCAGGCCCAGCCTTGACGATTATTGATGGCCCAACCCCAACGTCCGACGGATTCAAAGCCTGGCCCGATGTTTGAATTCGACAACCACAATAGCACCACATAACCACAGTCGAGCCAAAACTAGTATACAAATATGGCCCAGTATTGGTGATCAAACTTGGCCTAGCCTTGGGGATCAAAATTGGTCTAGTGTTGGTGATTAAGTTTGGTCCAACTCTGGTAATCCAGCATGGCCCAGCCTTTGTGATCTAACTTGGCCCAATTTAGATAACCAAGCCCGGCACAGTGTTATCATTCCAGGCTATTCCCAAAGCTGGGCCAAGACTGGTATGCATAGTTGGCCCAGATTTTTACAGTACTGATCCAGTCCTGTACCAAGACTGGGCCGATGTATGTATGGGTAATGAACATTTCTTATCCATATGACAAAGATAGAAAGACGGCAAACAGACAAGAACGTGCATTGATTGAACATGATCCAATGACTGAAACTACTACCGATACTACCAGAGTGACATTAGAACCGTTATAGGAGTTCTCACAAAATAGGTCTCTTAGTGGAGACAGAATGAAGGGTATTGAAGACGATGGTATAATATATGTAGTCCGTGAATGAAGTCTTTTAGGCTACAGGTATTTAGAACCCAATTACATAAGACGTTTCCTATCAAAAAGGATAAGTTTCTTTTTTTTTAATAAACATTGTCTTGAGGACTAACACTTTAATACAGAAAGGTTAGAAGAAAATGCGTTTACGGATCTCCATTTTGCTCTAAAAGGGTTCCTCATTTCTACAACATGGCCTCTAAGACTTGGATTAAATTTATAAATGGCTCATCTCCATTTACATTTTGTTATTTTATAATAATATTATTATAATTTTTCCCCTTCTGAAATGAACCGATTGACCATCTTTTATCATTTTAAATTCACTAAGTTTTAAAATAGAAATTCCCTCGGTCCAGTCCTGCCGTGCTAGCGCATCAATTACGAATGTTTTTGCTGCAGTCACGGCGGCAACTAATTCGTTTAATGCCGGCCATTTGGAATACGCGCGCATTTATACCTTGTCAATTCGCGCAATTGAATCGGTTTCAATTGTTACTTGATTTATGCGGCTCGTTACGCGAAAGCTCCCCATTGGTCGAACGGTCGCTACGGATGCAAACGAACGTGCTTTAGTCGAGCGGAATTCGATGCGCTCTGAGAGTTATTTTAACATGTATGTAGAAAAAGAAAATGTTATTTAAAGAATAATATAAAGATGGAACGTTTATAAAATGTCCATTGACGATATGATTAATTCAAACTAATTTCCATATCAACTATGTCAACGAAACAATCAAGTGGTGGTAAAATAAATTTGATGAAAGATGGCCACGACAACAGCAATTTTGTTTAGAAAGTAACATATAGGTTCAAGTCTTAACGCCATATAAGAAATTCGACAGTCTTGTGTGCTAATTCTTTTTCAAGTCTGCGATTAATCGTTTTTAATTAAACTAAATTTTCATAATGTAGAATAGAACAGCCATAAATGTCACAGAAAATCAGCTTAGAACTTATATAGGGTGAGTCTTAGATAAATGCAAATATAGCATACCGGGCAAGTCACCAACTATGTCAGCTTACAAAATGGCAAAAATAATTCGCGCAGCATACCATAAAAGTACTCCGACTGTCCGTTGTGATGGAGACTTCCAGATGCCGTACTGGTGGAACGAAGATATCCAAACAAACATTTTAGAAGTAAAAAAAAGAGAAGAAGGTTTCAACGAGAAACAAGAAACGATGATCTTCGCGAGCTCTATAAACGTACCTACAAAGAAGCAAAGCGGGATCTGTCTCAAAAGATCAGAATTGCAAAAATAAGTTCATGGGAAAAACTTTGCGATGACTTACAAGAAAATGTTTACGGTCAAGCATACAAGATAGTAAGATCTCAGCTGAAGAAAATGCCACCCAGAGTTCAAATGGACCCAGAAGAAAAAATCAAACAGTTTAAGGCTCTATTTGGCAACCAGTATGGATTTGTAAAGGGGAAATCTACCGCACATGCAATGAAGAAAATATCGGATATCGTGAAAAGAAAAGCCACTTGGCATAATGCTTTGATTTTAGTCGGCGTTAAAAATGCATTTAATTGCGCGTCATGGGAAATAATTATTAAAGAACATAGAAGATGGGGCATAAGTGGCTATTTGGTGAACATCATAAGAAGCTATCTTGATAATAGCTTTATAGTTCTCAATAGAGAAAATGAAAGAGAGGTATTCGGTGGCGTCCCACAGGGCTCGGTGCTGGGGCCAACTCTGTGGAACATATTATACGACAGTGTCATGGAGCTTACTGTACAAGGTGGGACAGAGTTGATCTGTTACGCCGATGATCTTGCTGTGGTAATAACAAAAAAAACTAAAAGAAAGGAAAAAATAAACGACCTCAACCTAATGCAGACTGTGGATGATACACTAAAGATCATAGCCAGATGGATGCGTGAGCACAGACTCAAAATAGCTGTGGAAAAAACAGAGGCGATTTTACTGAGCCGCAAGAGAAAAGTTGACCATATAAGGTTTAATTTTAAGGATATAATAATAAATCCAATAAAGCAAGTCAACTATCTTGGATTCCACATAGACCGTGCACTCACGATGGGCCTGCACATCAAGGAGGTGTGTCTGAAATCACAACGAACTGCTAAAGCGTTGCCCGCAATACTGCCAAACGTTCGGGGCCCAACACCAGCAAAAAGAAGAGTGTTAGCATATGCGTGCCAGAATATTATTATGTATTGTGGAACGAAGCAACCAATATGCACGTAAATAAAAAAAGACTTGAAGGTGCACAGAGGGTCATGGCTTTGAGGGTCTGCTCGGCGTATCGGACAACTTCAACTGAGGCAGCCTTGGTGATATCGGGTCTGGTGCCCTTGCATCTTCACTCAAGAGAAAGAGAACGACTTTTTCTCAAGGGTGAAGTACAAACCAGGGCAAGCAGAGAGATGGAGGGAAACCGCACAGTGCAGCAGTGGCAGGCAGAATGGGAAGTATCACAAAAAGGAAGATGGACATATAAGCTCATCCCAAATATAAATATGTAGATTAAAAGACAGCATGGAGAGGTAAATTTCTATCTTACTCAAATATTGAGTGGCCACGGAAATTTTGGGAGTTACCTGTGTAAAATTGGAAAGAGGGAAGTCGCGGAATGCCGATACTGTGCAATGATACTCCAGAACATACAATGTTTGCTTGTCCAAGATGGGAACAGGAAAGATGTGAGGCACGCATGACGATTGGTGGCAACATTTCCGCAGATACCTTCTTAAAATCGGTAACAGAAAGAAGAGAAAACTTTGAAGCCATCTCAACACTGGCCCAAAATATACTAGAGGCAAAATACAGCGAAGAGCAGGGGTAATGAAAAAAAAAAGAACAGTCCGGCGTCTACTTGAGGAGATGCGTCCAGCGGGTCCAGGTAGACGTGGCAGGAGCGAGGGGGTGATGTTTAGTGGGTAGTGTCCAGAGATTGAGTCCCACAGTCCGTACGTAAAGGTATTTTACACCTCCAAAAAAAAAAATCAGGGCTCGTAGATCTCGATAAAAGAGGTATACTTTCTCTTTGTCATTTTTCAAATAAGTCCAAAATAACCGAGTTATTTTGCTTTCCAAAATTCCAAAACAAATGATTTTTTGCTTAAATTGTGAAAAAAAAATTGCTTGCACTTTTGTTAAAAAATTTAAAGCGAAATTAAATACGATATACAAACTAAAATAGATAAGAAATAGTAAAGAATAAACGATATTTACAAGAAGGTTTTAAATATGACACTAGAATAATAAATAATCGTTAAGAGGCTAACATAGACAATGCAAATAATATGTTAACATAACCTACTAGGTTATGATATACATATTTATGCTAAAATGACCCCGCCTGCATAAATGATGTGTCCCCAAGAATTATTTACTTTTTGGTGAATTTGACTTTGTTCCTGATCAGCTAAACTGTTAATGTTGTAAAATATAAAACACATAATTGAA